ATGCCAGAGACATATTTGTTCGTCTCTGGCTCTGCAGAGAAAGCCATTAAGAGGGGTCTTCTGCTGCTCGGACTTGAGGTGTATTGAGGCTTATTTGAGGGTATATTGAGGTGTATAGGCAGTTTAAATAGAAGCACGAAGTCTACGGTGTATATACAGCAGAAGGTGTTTCGGGGTGTACAGACAGCTAAAGTAGATCCTCACGGCCAAGACGGCCCTCGATGAGGCCCCAGCGTTCTCCTTGGGGTTGTCTGAGAAAGCAGAGGAGAAAAGAGAAGAAAAATAAAGTAAAAAGCTTCGAAATGCGGCGGAAAACAGCAGAGATCAGCAGGGGCCCGGTGAGGTGTACATACACCTCAGCATATATATATATATATATATATATATAAGAACCAGTGCCGCAGCTGACCGGCCTGGGGGGATGAGTGTATAAAGGGTTAAATTTTTGTGTTTTTTCTTTTTTTTATTAAAAATAAATCAAAAATTTGAATTATTTTTGTTTTTTTTATCTAAAAAGATGCACAGACACCCCAATATACCGCTAGGGCCCTAGCGTACCCACACGTCGGCTGCGGCCCGCTGCTGCGAGGCCCCCTGTTGTTTTCTGTTGTTTTCTTTTTCTTTTTATTTTTTAAATTAAATATTTATTCTTTTTTTTTAATATATTACTCGGAAGGATCAGATTTATATGAAAATGAGCTGTATATACACCCCAATACACAGCCAATGCACACACAGAGATGCAGAGGGGGAGAGGATGTGACCTCGAGGCAGTAACGAGCAGTGTATACGCAGGTGTTTTGTATTGTAAACCCTGAAATAAAATAAAATAAATAAAAATAAAATAAAAATAAATTAAAATAAATATAAATAAATATAAATATAAATGTTTTATTCACTATATTTGTTACTGAGGTCAAGAGAAGAGGCAACGAGGCACAAAACTGCTTTCTCTATAGTATACACCTGAAATATAAACACAAACAAATAAACCCTAAACCCTAAACCCTAAACCCTAAACCCTAAACCTGATTTATAATATGAAAACGAACAGACAGAAAGAAAACAAACACCGATATTTGTTTGTATAATAAAAAAAAAGAAATCAATAAATAAAAATAAAATAAAAATAAATAAAAATTAAAGTAAAAATAAATGTTTTATATTTGTTAGTGAGGGCCTCTGCCTGTCTCTCCCTGTTTAGGGTTTAGGGTTTAGGGTTTAGGCTCTCTCTTTGTCTTTCTCTCTTCATTCTGTCTCTTCTGTCTGTGTCTCCTGTTGCTACTGCTGCTGCTACTGCTGCTGCTGCTGCTGCTGCTACTGCTGCTGCTGCTGCTGCTGCTGC